GCGCTCTGCTGCGGGAGTTGGCGGCAGGGCCCCGCGGCAGTTGAAGTGTGCATGGAGCGCGCCGCGGAAAGTTGCGTTTTAACACAACACCAAAAGGGCGTCCGAGCGCTGATACCTTTGCTTGCAGCTGCACACTCGGGCAGACGGTCACCCGTGACGGGAACGTGAGCGTAGTTGTGCTCCCGCCGAGGGCACAGCAGCTGACATCATTACCCACTTAAAGGCGCTTAAGACCCTTTACGTGACATCTAGATTTGTGCACTTCACCAGGCCCGGTTTTTGCACCCGCAACACGGGATTTTTGCATCCTCAGCTTTGCAGATCAGGCTGTTTGTAGTCCCCTTAAGCTGTTTTAGTATGTGGGGGTTTTTTTTCTGCATTTCTGCTGCTGTTAAAACTATGCATTCTTCGGTGTATTCCCTTTTTGTAGTAAAAGTAAGGCCTGGCTTTATGGGAGTTTGGAGGGGCCAACCCTACAAGTAGGGAAAATGGATAAATGTGTAGTTCACGTGGGAGGAACACAGAGGTGTTCGTGAACAGTTTCTCATTACTTTGCATAGATTTTGGGTGTGTTTTCAGCATAGCCTTAAAATCTATTAGGGGAAAATACTCCAAACCCATGGATTTATTTTTGTGGTGTGAAACTATGCAGGCTTTCTGTTGTAATGCAAATTTAAAAATTGCAGTTTCTGTTATTTTCTGAAAACAATCTTTGCCGATTGGGTAATTATCTTGAGAACTGTCATGTGACACAAGGGAGAGCTGCACTGAATTTCCCATTGTCCCTAGACTCAGTGCTTGGCCCAGTGACCCAAGCAGTGTTTTAGAAAGGATAAAAGAGGGAGAAAAATCCTATCACCACAGCCAGATAGGTCAGGGCAAGTCTTGATTTGTTTCACTGAGCAAACAGCTGCTTACCTCCCCACCAAGGACTTGTCTTCAAAACAAGAGTCTTCTATTGCTCTTGGCACGTCTAGTTTTCCTTCGTTGGCTATAGCTGGCAGTGACTGCGTACTGAAAGCAAGATGAGAGATTGTTAGAGCTGTAGTCAAGTTAATACTAACTTTTTCATTACTATTATTAAAATTGCATCAGCAAATAATGAGGTTAACTATAACAAAAAGTACATTTATTTTGGTCTCAGCCAAAGACATACTGGTAAGACATACCAGTTTTATGGATTCCTACTCACTAAGTGCATGACTGAAGCACTTGATAAGGCAAAAGCCTTGCTTCGTGCAGAGCACAAATTGAATGTGCAAGAGAATGTGCTTTTCACTTTATGTGCATTCAGTCCTCATCACATTCTTTATGGTGTTGATAAAAGATGCTACCTCCATAGGATTATGGGTTTGGGTTTGGTGTGGTCTCATTGGAAAGAGATTTCATTAATTTAAACCTCCCATGATAAAAGCCTAAATAGTTCTCTACTTTTTGTCATTACAACTTCATCTTTGCCAGTGAATCATGCTCAAAGCAATTTTTAAGAACAAGGTCTCAAAGGAGAAAAATGCATGTTTAACTCAGTTTGATCACAAGTTATTGCTGGGTGGGAAGATATTGGTTAGTTTGAAAGCTGAAGTGCAATTATAATTGTGTCATTTTACGAAAAAAATAAAGGTAGGCAATACGAATATTCCTCTTTAAACACTACAGTATGTATGGTATGTCATTACACTCTTTCTATCCTGGTAACTGCTTAGGGAAATGCACTAGTTTTTGTCTGACATTGGTCTAACTCCTTATGTTATTTCAAAAGTGTACTAATTTCTGTGACTAAATTTTGTTGCTGCTATTACATTAAATATTTTGGTGGTTTATATTTTGACAGTTTAATAAGCAGATATAATGGAAATTAAATATTAAATGATAATATAATGTCTCAAAGTATTCTATTATACCATTGTGAAAATAAACTGAAGAAAAATAAATTTGTTTGAAAATGTACTTCACAGTGGCAAAATTATGCTGTCATTGCAGTGATACTAAAAAAAGGCTATTCTGAAGTCTTGTCAGAACTTTGGATTGCTATGACTTTAGCCTAACTTTAATGTTTTTTAAAGGTTGTCAATGAGGAGTGGAGAAATGGCTAAAATGACCCAGTTAATTGACAATGAAGTCTTCCAAGCTTATGCTACGTATACCACTATTATTCTTCTAAAAATGATGCTAATGAGTCTTATAACAGCATACTTCAGAATCACGAGAAAGGTAAGAAATTGGGAATACTGTCTGGTAGAATAGATTGAAATTTGTTTTGAAATACGGAGATATCACAGGTGTTTCTTTTCAGCTTCCAAATACTGTTCTTTTTCTTCCTCCTCCCTCCTCTAATGATATTCTGAGTTTGGTGTGCTGGTGCTTTGTTGGTCTCATGGATGATGTCTTTAACCTAATTATGAGATAATGATGAGGCTATATCTTATTCTACCCTTCTAAAACAATTCTGTTATTTCTAAATGAGAGTTTTTCACAACTGTAATTTCCACTGTCTTTCGCAGAAAGCTGGTGTCTAGGGTACCCAGTTTATAAAGCAAATAAAGTGTCATATGTAGCCATCTTACATGAATAACCAACTACTAGGGTCAGAAGAGAGGATATGAAGTGGATTTTTATGCATCTATAACCCTTTCATCCAGTAATTCTAAAGCTCTTTACATTCCCTAATGTTTTAGCCTTCCCATTGCAAGTAGGTCATTATCTAAAAAAAAAAAATTGTTGTTTTTTTTTTCTAGAATGAGAGGCAGGCTGAAAATTTACATTGCTGTCTAGGCTAGATAAGTATATGAGATTCACTGAGATTTACTAAGTAATGTAGAAGCCTCATCTATCTTAGGAGACAGTGCTTATGGAAAGCACTGTGTTGTGTTTGTGCTGTTCTTGGTCTCCAGGCATCTGCTTGTGGCCACTGTTGGAAACACTTGGTCCTGGATTGAAAGAGCCCTGAGATTGCCCCATATGGCTGTTCTAGTGAGATCTGCTTCTGCCAGACGGTGTGTGCTTCAAGGATTTTGTTGTAGTCCTTTTGCTGAAATGCTGCTTTTTGTTCCTGCTTGGTTCAAGACCTGAACTGTTCTGTTGCTCATAAGGTCCTAATAGCACAACATTTGAGCTACTGCTGGCTTCTAATTGCTCTCTAGGTCTCTGGCACAGCTGAAGATTGAGTAGAGTACACAGCCTGTCCTGGATGTTCAAAATAGTACTCAGATGTCTCTGTTGTAACCTTACTTCCTTTTGTTCTTGTGCAAGCATGTCAGCTGTACTGGTCCTGTATGTAGATCCAGTGGAGTCCTGTATTAATGCCCATACCGTGTTATGATCCATATTTATGCAGGTGACAACAGGCCCTTCATTAATTTAGAGTACCTTATTTTCTGATCACAGACTAATATTACAGACAGACCAATTAGTAAAGTCATTTTTATTTCCTATTTAATATAAAAAAGTCTTTAAAATGTGAAGAAAAAATGAAGAAAAGTAGTTAGTGGAGCACAAGAAAGTAAAATGTTGCTCATTCTGATACTGATAACATGTTTCCAGAATTCTGAGGCCAAGGATATTTCACAGAAAGGGATCAAGGCTGCCTCAGAAAGCAATCATGTAGGTCCTTTAAAATCAAAAGGTTTTCTTGACTTATACTTCCATAGCCTGAACAGTCTACAGAATGCATGTGTTACTACATGTGTCAGCCAGGAGAGATCTACTGCAGTCTGCACTAACTGAATTAAACGTTGTTTTCAAGTAGTGTCTTACAGTATTTGGAGGTAGTAATGGGTCATATAAGTGGAAAAATTTGTGCCTGAGAGGAAATGGAGAAACTTATTTGGTCATAAATGAGGATGGGACTAAGTCTCTTGGATGCTATTGCTGTATAGACTTCTGAAGAAGGAAGGGATCCAAAAGGGCTTTCAGATAATTTGTCAAGAATAGTGAAAAAGAGACTTAGGCAGTACAGACTGTAGTTCTACCTTGCGGGTCTCTATATTCCTTCAGCCTACTGGCATTACTTCAGGCTGAGTATCAGTCATCTGCCGTGCTTGTCCATTTTACAATAAGGCTTTATCTACATGCATAAATTACATTACATTAATTTTTCAGCATGCAAGCTACATACAGGCTAGGCTCAAGAAAACAGTAATGCGGTGAACAATGTGTTATTCCCTGTGCATTTAACTTCAGGTAAGTTATGTGAGGTTATAGAGGCATTAGTACAAAGAGTGACCTTTATAGCAAGCTGCCTCTACTAGAAGAAACATTCTAGCTTCTAATGTCTCTTGTGTGTTTATGTTTGAAATAGGCATTTGCCAACCCAGAAGATACAGCATCATTTGGAAAAGGCGAGAGTGCTAAAAAATACCTGCGGACTGATCCAGATGTTGAACGTGTACGCAGGTAATGCGTAGTAGTCTTTAAACGTTATTTAAAATAGCACGATAATACTAAATCAGGGAATTAATTTCACCCCATTCTTTTTGGCAAACCTCTGTGTGCTCTGTGTTGCTTTATGTAGTAATCTAATATGTTAATTTGTTTAAATGAACAAACAATTCCACAGTCAAATGGCCAGCATGCATACTAAAAGTAATAAGCCATTTTCTGGTTATAATAACTAACTCTCGAATAGTATCCTGTATGCATGGAGGAAGTGGTAAGAAGATTGTAAAATATGACTGTAACTTAATTTAGTATGAAGTAGTGTCCATTAAGTATAATTAAGTATAAATCAACTTTCTATATAATTTGAACACCAGTTGCAATAGTTGCATCTTTTCCTGAAGTGTAAATGAAACAACAGGGGAAGAGGAGTAAAACTGTGTTAGAGTCATGGAACTCTGGAGTTGTAGTGAGAGTGTTAATCTGGCAAATAGCAGAGTGGGAGTCAAAGCCTGTGCTCTTTTTGCTGGACTGACTCAAGGTTACTGCCCCATGTGTCAATTGTACAGGAAGGTTGACCAGCCGTCTGGAAGAATGCTATTAATAGTATGGCAGTGTTCAACGTGTGGTCAGTCTATTTGTTTTCAAGGTTTGTGGCAGAATGTAAGATGTAGTTCAGTGGGCTAGACGTTGCAGCTTATTTAACTTTATTTAGCTGGTGGCAAAATTTCCTGTTACCAAAATCATAACTTTTGAGATGCTGTTTGATAAATCTGTACTAACAAGAAAAGCTTTAATGGAGTGCTTTCCATCCCATTATTCCTTAATGAAGCTAACAGTTTATTTCCTGTACACGTTTTTATACCAAAAATTTGAATGTGAACAAACTGTTCTCATTTAAACCACCATTTGGGAAGATCTTGAAAATAAGCTTTGATTTCAGAACAGTGCATGCTTGCAAATGCAGATAACTGTGGTTCTGTGAAGGCTGGTATATTTCTGTATGTCTCTTCTGGATTAAAATCTGAGAAAGAAGAGTCTAATCGCAGTAGGCTGCAAAGATACTCTGAACTTTTCTCCCTCTCAGTGGTTCAGGGAGTTCTTAGTTGTTTAATTTGCTAGTTGTTACATAAAAATGGGCACTTTTTGGTGAGGAGTAATTTCTTTCTATTTGTAAATTCTAAGAGGATAACTAAGTTGATACTAACTTTACAACCAGATGTCATTTTAACTCAAATTGTTACATTAGAGAAATGACAACCTCCTCACAGAGTCATTTACACAGCTTAGATTTTTAAAACACTCTATTATCAAATCCTGTGTTGTTTTTTTGCAGAGTTGATCAGACTTCCCCAGATCTAGTAAGGCATCTTGGTTCTAGTTATTTCATTGGTGTTGCAGCATCCATTTTTTTCCTCCCAACATTAGTTCTTAATGGAAGTTTACTGTATTTTCTTTTGCAAGCTTCATGGCAACAGATAATGTCACATAGATTTAGGATGGCTTCTCTGCTATATAAGTGACTGGAATTTGTTCTGTTTATGGGTATAGAAAAGACATTACACTGAAGAGTGTAGTTTTTTGGTGAAAAAAACCAGAAAAGCTTCAGGATGTGTTTCCTTGTAATGATAAATGAGTTCAGAAAGCAGCTGCAAAACAGCACCATGTTCTGCTTCTAGTTGGCTGTGAAATTTGACATAATTAGTAAGTCTTAGAGGTTGTTTCAATCAGTAAATTTGGCTGGAAGTATGATTTATCTAAAGAGGTAAAGGGAGAGGGAAAGGTTTAGGAAGAGGCGTGAAAGAATACTTCAAGATCTGGAGTTCAGTCTCGACACATTTTTAGTAAATCATATTATGGTTTCAAAATTTCAAACATTTTTCAGCTATTTTCGTGCTTCGTAGTGAAGAAAATCAACCAAAAGCTGTCACACCTGTTAGATGCTCAAAAATAACATTCTTCAAGATGATTGAACTTCATGAAGATTTGATAGAATGTTTCATATATAGGATATTTCATATTTTCTTTATGGAGACTACAAATTGAATTTATGGGATTGGAATAGACCATCTGGGCCATGAAGTCTAGTAGTTGCAGTCACACTCATCCAGTTAGTTGATATTCAGTTGAGAGAAACTACAAGAAAAATCCAGCTATCTGTCTTCTTCCCTGCCTTTCCTTGCATTCTTGCACACTCAGGTGCACTCATATACCTCATGTAAACTCCTAATATTAAGCAAGATCCTGGAGAAAAATAAAAACCTTTCATACAGCAGATCAGAGGCTTAAAAAATACAGGGTGCAGCAAAAGAGACCAGAGCAATGCCAGGTGAACATGTGAAAATCATTTCAGTAGCTGAATCCAGACCCCACTGCAGAGGAAGCCAACAGGGCCTTAACAGTAGCATGCTTTGAAGATGCTAGAGAATAATGAAGCTTGAAGTGGTTTATTTAACAAAATATAACACTGTAAAACAACTTTGCTTCTTTCCCCAGAGGCCACCTGAATGACCTTGAAAATATTGTCCCATTTCTTGGCATTGGGCTGCTGTATGCTCTTAGTGGCCCTGAGCTGTCCACAGCCTTGCTGCATTTCAGGATCTTCACTGGGGCCAGGATCGTTCACACTTTTGCATACTTGATCCCTCTTCCCCAGCCTGGCAGAGGTTTGTCTTGGGCAGTTGGGTATGCAGTGACCATCTCAATGGCGTACAAAGTGCTGAAGACATCGTTGTACCTGTAGCAGAGTCATAGCTTCTGTGTACCATTTGACATTCCATGCAAACTTTGCCACAGTGTATGTTAATGTCTTGAATGAGCCAGCATGAATTTTCTGTGGTGACTGGAATTCATTTTTTAACAGAGTCTTTTCATTCCTGTTCAGAAATATTTCTTTTTGGAGAAAAAAAAATCCTCCCTGTATTCCCTGTTCATGGGCTGCATTGCCAAAAGATTAGATTTGATGTTCCCTTTGCGATTTGTCAAGTGCTTACAATTCTAAACATGCAATGATGCTGTATTGATAGCATGTGTGGTAATTTTCTACAGATATACTATTTTTGGCTGTAGCTTTGAAGTCTAAATCAATAAAGACAAGAGTTAAAAAAAAAAATGTGTTTGTATTTTTGTTTTCATTCTGACTCTTCTCACTGCAGCCAGCAAATAGCATGTCACTATGTATCAGGAAGAGATTCCAATCATACAGTTCTTTGAAGAATGCTTACCTTAATAATAAGATATAACCAGTAATACTAGGCTTGTTGTAAAAAATCTTTGATGAAATTGTTGTTTGTGTTGGGATTAAAAAACCTAAACCATTGCAGCTCCATTTCTCTCAGTTGAATAGATTAAAAAGAAAAAAAGGTATTTGGGCTAAACTCCATTTAGTGACGATGGTGAAAATTTGAAGTAATTCTTTTTGTTGAAGTTATTCCAAACATAGGTTTCACGACTGGATAAAGTGTAAAGCCTTTTTTCGTTCATTTTTGAATTAATTCAGCATAAAATGAGTGACACTTGCAAATGTATATATCAGCTAATTCAGATGTGACTATATAATTAGTTTGCATGGCATACTGTCATAAATCATAGAATGGTCAGGGTTGGAAGGGGCTTTAAAGATCATCCATTTCCAACCCCCCTGCCATGGGCCCTTCCACTAGCCCAGGTTGCTCAGAGCCCCGTCCAGCCTGGCCTTGAACCCTTCCAGGGAGGGGGCAGCCACAGCTTCTCTGGGCAACCTGTGCCAGGGCCTCACCAGCCTCACAGGGAAGAATTTCTTCCTTATACCTAATCGAAGTCTACACTCTTTCAGTTTAAAACCATTACCCTTCACCCTATCACTACACTCCCTGATAAAGAGTCCCTCCCCAACTTTCCTGTAGACCCCTTTAAGTACTGGAAGGCCACTATAAGGTCTCCCTGGAGCCTTCTCTAGGCCAAACAATATATTGCTGATAGAAAATTTTGATCTTTGCTTGTCTATGATGTGTTAATTTGAAATATTTTCTTTAAAAACTTTTCCTGGCCTTTTTTGTTTTGGTAGGTGTGACTTAAACAATAGCACAAGATTTCAAGAAAAAAGAAAAATGACCCAGAAGTGTCTTCATACCCAGTGTGCTGGTCATTGATAAGTTTTAAATGGCAGAAGTCAGAGTTTGGTTTACTTTCCTACCCCAGAAGCTGTGCTGCTAAGGGGTAGCCCAGAGATGAGCTGGAGAGTTCTCTTCGCTGCCTCCATATGCCAAAGGGTTTGCTTTTATTTCATGTGGGAGAAGTAGTTGTAGTACCACAAGGCATATCACAGGAGGGCCTAGCTGTCTACTCACAGTTGTGAGAGGGAAGTTCATGCACTGTTAAGTTAAGCTGTAAGTGAGAAGTAGCCAGAGGAGTCAGGAAGGGTACAGATGGACTGGTTTAATCTGAAGAAGGGAGATTTTTATTGTAGTTCAAGGGTAGTGTTTAAATCATGTCTACTAAACAAGAGAATGGTGGGACTTGAAATCAAGAAGTTAACATTGATTTATCAGAAATTAAATCTAACTAAGAAGTTAAATAATGAAGAGCTGGATCCTCTAGAAAGAGAATGTTTAAGAGAGGAGGACTAAAAGGAGAATATTTTGGAGCTTCAGATCCTAACATGGCAGAGTAAGCACACGTCAACACCTGTGGATTACCAGAGACTCCAGTGGGAAATGCAGGCTTTCATGTTTCTTCTCACATATTTCTCCACCACTCCCAACCTGTGCTGTTTTCCTCCTATTCCTTCTTTCTCTGCTAGCTTTGCATGCCATCTTGAGACCAGCTACCTTGGACAATATCATTGTAACAAGGTAAGATTGTCCATCAGCTCTTCCTAGTTTGGGAAAGACTAGCAATGGAGGGAGAAAGGGGCCCAAACTAGTCATTGTCAGAGTCAATCTGCCAACTTGGATTGATTGCTCTGTGGCTACTCTTGCCTCCTTATGTAGTGATACTAGCATCTAAAGCTGTATTTTCCTCACTTCTTTGTAGCTTGTCTCTTCTTTCAGCTGTGTGTCTTTCTATCCATTTAAAACAGTGGGAAAGTAGCCACCATGCATAGGAACCCATTTGAAATTCAGCAGCAGAGGGAGTCCTTTCTTTTAGCATCAAAAAGGCTCTTCTGACAAGCCTAGTTGTCATTGCCAGACATATGCAGGAACAGCATTTTTAACTCCTTTTGCATCAAACTTCCATACAGAAATCTCATTCTGAAGAGAAATACCTGGAGCCTGTCTTTATTTCTGTGATCTTACATTTGAAACAAAACTAGTTTTTAAATCCCTTCCATTTGCTTGGTGGTTTCAAAACCCTGAGCATACACTCGCTATGTGCTGAGAAGTTAAAAAGATAAATGGAAACCCTTGGAAGTACCTAGAGTGATTCAATATTATTCTGTGTTTCTCTTGCATTTATTTTAAACCTGTATTTTATTTTCCTTTGCTCCCACAAATACTGTCTGTTCATCTGGGTGGGGTACGTGCTCAATCTGGGAAATCTGCCTTACCAGCTTCAGTCAAACTGTGACTGCCAGCTCCATGGAAGTATGTTGGAGTGGTCCTTGTCAAACGGCTCTTGCATATCTGCAGGCCATGCCTTAGAGAAGTATACTGTACCTGTTGTACAGCTGTAAATTTTAAAAGGTTAGCTTATTTTCATGAGGAGAACTAATAAAAGGAGTGTGTTAGTCGAATGTATTACTGAGCTAAACTGTATTTTCACCTTTTAAAATATGCACATATGGATTTCTAACTGCTTTATTAAGTTCTGTTACAAAATCTTTAAAATAATCTGTAACTGATGAAGCAACTGACTGTTATCAGCAGGTATGCTGCTTTTGACCTGGTGAAAGTACAGACAAGTCTAGTCCACTGTAGACATATAAAAAGAGGTCAAACCAATATCTAGGCTTCATTTCTGTTTATTATGCCTGTTATTCCCACCACTAATCTTAGGCAACTGGAGAAACTAAAGTTTTATTCTCTCTACCAGTTATTCCTGGCATTTTATATTCTTACCTCTACAGAGTACTCTGTATCTTTGAAGTAGCTCTAATAGTTGACCATGAGGTACTTCAAAATGCTAGCTAACAGCTTGACCTAGTTAGTTGATTTCATCTCTTGACTGAATTTCATGGGATACTTCGTTTACAGAAGTGTAAACATGTGAACAATTTCTCAATTTAGTTTTCAGCTCTATGGGTAAATCCTTATGTGGCTTTGGCCAAAGTTACTTTGTCCTCATTTTCATGGCTGCAGACATATGCAGCTGGAGGCAGTGAGTTGTTGAGAGGACTGGTGACTGGCAAAGATGTCTGAGCTAGGACTTAACCATTTGAGCATGACTTCATGTCCTTTCACAACAAAGCAGGTGTTTAAAAAGATAAATGATATATTAAATGTTTCCTTGCTTTTTCAGAAGTAAGTGTATCTCTGAAATTCACTGCCTTCAAGGTATTTATTTCAAGAAGCTCTGTCAATGTTTCTGAAAGTGATGGAATTGCACAAGTCACCAAAATACAGGAAAAGAAAAGCTTACACTCCTAATTCAAATCACTTTGGGGTTTTGAAAAATTTTCTAGTCACTTGAAGCCTGTTATGGTCATATGCTGCTCCATGCTGTGTCTCTTCCTGGTTATTTGCAGAAACAAATTCAATCTAGATTTTTACTGGAAAATGCTTGTAATGTATGTCCTTTCTAAAAGCAAAAAATAAAAAGCAAGACTTTAAAAATACCCTTTTAGAAGTAACACAAATGTTATGTTATTACACGAACTAACATGTTTTTCATTTTGAGGCTGAAGTTTAGGAAGAACTTTTCTGTTTTCCAAACCTTGTCCTGCCAACTGAGATGGCATATCAAGTGCTCTGTGAAAGGTTGTATTGACATATATTAAAATACTCTCATGATTAAATACCTCCAGCTGTTGGACACTTAGAAAAATACATCCTTGTGATTCACTTTAAGTGAAACAAAGCAGTGTTATTTAAATACTGATTTTCAGATTTCCAGATCTTGATTAGTTACTCCTACTCAAATTTTGAAGGCTAAAATTGATATTAGCTCCTTCAGTCTGACCTCTAGTGGAAAATATGCCACAGAGTGGCTGCCCTTCTGCTGAGGTGAGTTTAATCACAGCATGACTTCCTGAAAGGTGTGTGATCTCCATTCAGAGACTTTGGGATACAGGCATTGATTCACTCTTTTCTATGATATTGTTTCTCTCTGGAATACATGCATGCTAAAACTAGTCTTTAAAAACAGCGTAAGTTGTTTTTGTTGGCTTTGTGGGTTTTTTGTTTTATGTTTTTTGTTTTTTTTTTTTTTTTAATCAAGACAGTTATTATTAAATTATTGCAGTGCAAGAAGAAATATTAAATACTTTGCAGGTGCTTTCCTACTACAAAGCACTCTGCTTTTTACTACTGTACACCCTTGGAAAAACACAAATGTAGAGGCCCTTTCCACATGTAAAAAAATACTACTCTTCTGTTTTAAAAAGAGGCAGGAAAAATGTGAGGTATAATGCCTGAAGGTCTGTGCTAATTGAGTGTTTTTAGGAATATATGTTATGGTAACTATGCACACATGGGACTGTACTCTGCACAAAGACTTGCAGTGTATGAAGTTGTATCCATGATCCTATGTCATAAATTCTGTGAGTAGTATTACAGTGATGTTGGGCATCCCTTGCTAGCCTGGAGTGAAGCATCTTGAAGTGGATACCTATAAAAGAGTGGAAAATGACATCTCCAGCATTCTTGCTTCAATGCCTACTGAGTTGTAATATGGGCAGGGGAATGGTGGCTGACTTATATTAACTAGTCAGCCTCCATTCCTTGACAGCATTTCCAAGTACTGACCTGCATGCCAGGTGGCTGCTTTTGCCATGGAAACACATTTAAAAGTAAATTATTTCTCTTCATTGAAGGACATTATTTTAGCTGCAGCCACATAATCTCCACAATTGAATGCTTTTATATCTAGTCTTTACTGGTTGATCCCAGTGTGCACAATCACTGACAGCATCTTTCTTTTATTCTACATCTCATGTGTTGGTGGACTTTTGAGAGCTTAA